ATAACACAGAGAAGAAATTCATAATTCTATCAGATAAATTTAAAAAACAGATTGAAATAGTTTAAAAGAACCAAGTAGAAATTCTAGAGCTGAAAAATGCAATTGGTATAGTGAAGAATGCATCAGTCTTTTAATAGCAGAATTCAACAAGCAGAAGAAAGAATTAGTGAACTTGAAGGCAGGCTATTTTTAGAGGATACAAAAGAAAAATAATTAAAAAATGAAGCACACCTATAGGATCTAGACAATAGCCTTGAAAGGACTAATCTACGAGTTATTGACCTTGAAGAGAAGGTAGAGAAAGAGATAAAGGTAGAAAGTTATTCAAAGGAATAATAACAGAGAATTTCTCAAATCTAGAGAAAAACATCAATATCCAAGTACAAGAAGGATATAGAATATAAAGTAGATTTAATCCAAAGAAGGGTTTAACCTCAAGGCATTTAATGATAAAACACCCAAAGGTCAAGGATAAAGAAAGGATCCTAAAAGTAGAAGAGAAAAGGGACAAATAACATACAATGGAACTCTAATATGTTTGGCAACAGAGTTTTCAGTGGAAAACTTACAGGCCAGGACAGAGTGGCATGACATATTTCAAGTGCTGAAGGAAAAAATCCTTTTACCCTAGAATGGTATAGCAGGTGAAAATGTGCTTCAAACAAGAAGGAGAAATAAAGACTTTCCTACAGAAACGAAAGCTGAGTGATTTCATTGACACCAGACCTGTCCTACAAGAAATGCAAAAGGGAGTACTTCAGTCATAAGAAAAGGACATTAACAAGCAATAAGAAAACATCTGAAAGTCAAGACTCACTGATAATAGTAAGTACACAGAAAAACACAGAATAATATAACACTGTAACTGTGACATGTAAATTCCTTTTATCTTGAGTAAAAAAACTAAGGGATAAACCAATCAAAATTAATAATTAATATACCTTTTAAAACATACACAATACAATAAAATATAAATAGAAAACAAAGTTGCAAAGTGGGGGTATGACGTTAAAGTGTAGAATTTTAATTCATTTTTTGCTTGTTTGTCTGTTTATGCAAATAGTGTTAACTTGTTATCAGCTTAAAAAAATGGGCTATAAGATGGTATTTGCAAGCCTCCTGGTGACCTCAAACCAAAACACATACAACAGATACACAAAAAGTAAAAAGCAAGAAACTAAATCACATCAGCAGAGAAAATCAATTTCACTAAAAGGAAGACAGGAAGGAATAAAACAAGGAGGAGAAGACCACAAAACAACCAGAAAACAAATAACAAAACATTACTTATCAATAGTAATGTTGAATGTAAATAGACTAAACTCTCCAATCAAAAGACACAGACTGGCTGAATGGATTAAAAAAAACAAAGATCCAGTGATTTGTTGCCTACCTCACCTATAAAGACATACATAGACTGAAAATAAAGGAATGGAAAAAGATATTCTATGCCAATGGAAACCAAAAGTAGCAGGAGTATTCAGCCATACTTAGACAAAATAGATTACAGGACAAAAACCATAAGAAGAGACAAAGAAGGTCACTGTATAATGATAGAAAGATCAATTCAGAATGAAGATATGACATATTTAAATATATGTGCACCCAATACTGCAGGACCCAGATATGTAAAGGAAATATCATTAGAGCTAAGGAAAGAGACTCCAATACAATAATACCTGGAGACTTCAACACCCCACTTTCAATATTGGATAGATCTTCCAAACATAAAATCAAAAAGAAAACATTGAATTTAATCCGCACTATAGACCAAATGGACCTACTAGATATTTACAGAACATTTCATCTAGTGGCTGCAGAATACACATTCTTTTCCTCAGCACATGGATGATTCTCAAGGATATCCCATATGTTAGGTCATAAAACAAGTCTTATAACATTCAGAATAACTGAAATGATATCAAGCATCTTCTCTGACCACAATGAAATAAAACTAGAAATCAATAATAAGCAGAATTTTGAAAAGTATATAAGCACATGGAAATTAAACCATATGTTCCAGAACAACCAGTGGGTAAATGAAGAAATTAAGAAGAAAATTGAAAAATTTCCTAAAACAAATGCTAATGGAAATTCGACATACCTAAACCTATGGAATATAGCAAAAGGAGTACTAAGAGGAAGATTGTGACTATAATTGCCAACACAAAAAAGAAAAACTTCAAGTAAACAAGCTAATAATGCATCTTAAATAACTAGAAAAGCAAGAGCAAATCAAACCCAAAGTTAGTAGAAGAAAATAAATAATAAAGATCAGAGCAGAAATAAATGAAATTGAAATTAAAAAACAATACAGAACATCAATGAAACAAAAGTTTTTTGAAAAGTGTTTTGGTTCTTTCAAAAAGTTAGACAAAATTGACAAACTTTTAGCCAGACTAATAAAAGAAGAGAGAAGTCTCAATAAATAAAATCAGAGATGAAAAAGAAGACATTACGACTGACACCAAAAAACTCAAAGCATCACTAGTAATTACAATGAGCAACTATATTCCAATAAATTGGAAAATCTAGAATAAATGGATACATTTCTAGCAACATACACTCTACCAAGATTGAATCTTGAAGAAATTCAAAACCTGAACAGACCACTAACAAGTAACAATACTGACATCATAACAAAACGTTTTCCAGTACAGAAAAAGCACAGAACCTGATGGCTTCACTGCTGATTTCTACCAAACATATAAAGAAGAACTAATATCAATCCTACTCAAATCATTCTGAAAAATAGAGGAGAGAAGACTTCCAAACTCATTCGATGAAGACAGTATTACCCTGATACCAAAACCAGACAAAGACAAATCTTAAATAACTAAAAGTAGAATTACCATTTGATCCAGCAATCCCACCACTGGGTATCTACCCAGAGGAAAATAAGTCATTACACAAAAAAGATACTTGCACACACATGCATGTTTATAGCAGCATGATTCACAATTGTAAAAATGTGGAATGAGCCCAAATGCCCATCAATTAATGAGTGGATAAAAAATTGTTTTGTGTATATATAAAACATATAATACACACACATACACACACTATGGAATACTACTCAGCCATAAAAAGGAAAAAAAAACAATGACATCCATAGCAACCTGGATAGAATTGGAGACTATTATTCTAAGTGAAGTAACTCAGGAATGGAAAACCAAACATCCTATGTTCTAACACATAAATTGGAGATAAGCTATTATATGAGGCCACAAAGGCATAAGAATGATACAATGGACTTTGGGGACTTGTGGGAAAGGGTGGGAGGGGGGCGAGGGATAAAAGACTACACGTTGGGTATAGTGTACACCAAAATCTCAGAAATCACCACTAAAGAACTTATTCATGTAACCTGTTCCCCAAAAACCTATTGAAATGATATAATTTAAAAAACTCTACAATATCTCTAATGAAAATTGATGCAAAAATCCTCAGTAAAGTACTAGCAAACCAAATTCAACAATACATTAAAAGGATCACTCATCATGACCAAGTGGGATTCATCCCTGGGGTGCTCAACATATGCAAATCAATCAATGTGTTAAATTCTATCAACAGAATGGACAAAAACCATATGATCATTTCAATTGATACTGAAAAAGCATTTGATAAAATTCAATATCCTTTCATTAATAAAACATTTAAAAAACTGGGTATAGGTGGAACATACCTCAACATAATAAAATCCATATATGACAATCTCACAGCTATTATCACACTGAATGGGAAGAATAACAAAAATACTTTCCTCTAACATCTGGAATACATCAAAGATGCCCACATTTACTACTGTTATTTGCCACACTATTGGAAGTACTAGCGAGAGCAATCAGTAAAGAGAAAGAAATAAAGGGCATCCAAATTGGAAATAAAGAAGACAAACTATTCTTTATTGCAGATGATATCTTATATTTGGAAAAATCTAAAGATTCCACACCAAAAAAACTATTAGAACTGATAAACAAAAATAAGATCCTGTTATTTGCAAGAACATGGAACTGGAGGTCATTATGCTAAATGAAATAAGCCAGGCACAGAAAGAAAACCATCTCATGTTCTCACTTATTTGTAGGATTTGAAAATCAAAACAATTGAATTCATGAAGATAGAGAGTAGAAGGATGGTTGTCAGAGACTGAGAGGGGTAGTGGGACGGTGTGGGGAGGGAGGTGGGAATGGTTAACAGGTAAAAACAAGTAGAAAGAATGGATAAAATCAAGTATAGCACAACATACTTGATAGCATAAAATTTAGTGGCACAAAAGGGTGACTAATAATTTTTGTCACCCTTTTGTCAATAATAATTTAATTGCACACCTTAAGATAACTAAAAAAGTATAACTGGATTGTTTGTAACACAAAGGATAAATACCTGAGTCGACAAATACCTCATTTTCCATGATGTGATTATTGTGCATTTCATACTTATATCAAAACATCTCATGTGCCCGTCAGTATATACACCTACTATGTACCCACAAAAGTAAAAAAATTACAAATGTGGAATATTAGTAATACATATTTTATAGAATTGCTCTGAGTATTAAATGAATTAGGCTCTCAGCACAGCTCCTGGAACACAGTAAGTGCAACATAAATGTTAACTGTTATTATTATTTGTTTATAAGCTATAATTTGCTAATTGCCTGTGTGTACTTTGACAGAGATTGGTCTTTTTTTAACTGCTGTATCTCCAGCAACTTGACAAGTTCCTGGCATACAGTTAGGTCAAAATAAATAATTATTGAAGGACTAGATGAATAAATAAATGAATCAGTTTAATAAACCTTTTTTGAGGGTTACATCTGTGCTTCTGAGGAGGAATTCCTATTATGGTGGGCTCTCTTATTGAATGAATCAGCAAATGGAAAAATGAAAGGCAGAGCCCGTAGGCACCAGTCACAGTGCCATTTACCTTCTTCCCAGTAGGCTTTAAAAGCATCCCCTCAGCGAGTTCCAAGAAATGGTACCCACTGTGTAGTTTACCTGTATCCCCTTCCTTGGCACCTGGTAGTACTTCTTCTTCAGCTCCTCCTGCTTCTGAATAAAGAGACGGTAACCTCCTGGTTTAGAAAATGTTCCCTGCTTGACATCTTCTTCTAAAGGGCCAAATATATCCTGAAGTAAAGCCATGCAACAATCTGATGATGCTTTGGAATTCTGCTTACAAAAGTCATCTCGCTTTGCTTCCAGCTGGGCCTGTGAAGTGACAAAACAGCACAGATGTTTCAATAACGCCATGAGGAGGATGTTAACTATGTAGAGACTGGAAAATGCTTCTCCTGCAGAAATTGTGGCCTCTAAATAGAGCCATGCTCCTCACCTTGCTGTTAGATCCTAGAATATCCCTAAGTTGTGCTTATTGCAGAAATTGATTTGCTTCTCTGTTTGTGATTTCCTAAAGCTCCTTTCTCCTAGTTTTCCTGCTTCAGAGAATGATTCTCAAAGCACATACACATTTCATATGAAACTTTTATCTTTCCAAGTCTCTCATTTCAGGAATAGTTCTGAGCACAAACACTGGAGTCAGGCAGCCTGCCTAGAGTTCCCAGATCCACTGCACTGTGGCTTGTGACACTCAATCTTTGTGAACCGAGGATTCCTTGTCTGTATAGCAGAGGAGCAATACCCATCACATAGGTTTCTCTTCAGGGTTATATGAGGCGATGTAAACTATTAAGCCCAGGGACTTTTTAGAAGTGCTCAGTAAGGAGTACATGATTATTTAGTACATTCTTTAATATGAGAATATTTTTGTGTATTTTCTCAACATAGGGCTAATGAAAGTAATGAAGATTGTACCGTAGGTATTTTCAGTATTTATAAAGTCTCATAGAAAAGCACATTTATCTACATTAAATCACTCAACATAACTTAACTACGAAGCTTTCTCTTTCCTCCTTAGGTTGGAAGGGTGACAATTGCTGACATCGGCTATCTAGCTTCACCAGAACCTCCGAATGTAGCAATGTATCATTTATAAGATGGCGCCTTCCTAGCTAGGGAAAGGACTTCCACTTGTCAAGTGGCAATTCTGCATGCAAAAATACTCTGTTCACTTGGAATGAGGCAGATGTTAAAAGCTGTTTTAAATTAAAAAAAATTTCTCTAATAAAATTTATATAATTAATTTCTCTTTTTTGTCTTTCTGAATATTTTACCATTGGCTCACATTTAACAAAACAACAAATTATTAGGGTTATTTAAAAATAATTTAGTCCCCACTGATAATTACCAGGGAACATAAAGGCAATGTAATTTTTAATTTAAAAGGACAAAATAAGTTAAAATAGTCTTTAATAATGCAGTTGTACAATCTACTTACTTTCTTAAAAATATGGGACCCAGATAGGAAAAACTAACAAAAGCAAATTTTTGTAAAAAATTAGGTGTCATTTTTTTAAAGGTCTAAGTCTTTTTTTTTTTTTTTTTTTTTGAGACGTAGTCTTGCTCTGTCACCCAGGCTGGAGTGCAGTGGCCAGATCTCGGCTCACTGCAAGCTCTGCCTCCCGGGTTCACGCCATTCTCCTGCCTCAGCCTCCCGAGTAGCTGGGACTACAGGCGCCCGCCACCTCGCCCGGCTAGTTTTTTGTATTTTTTAGTAGAGATGGGGTTTCACCGTGTTAGTCAGGATGGTCTCGATCTCCTGACCTCGTGATCCGCCTGTCTCGGCCTCCCAAAGGTCTAAGTCTTTTAATAATTATTTCAAATATGTACATATAACTGAGTGTAACTATTTTGGGGTCTAGAAAGAATTATTTTCCCAAGAAGGGTCCATATTTTTCTGCCTCTCATGACCTAGAACACCAAATATACCCCTAATTTCCTCTGGAACGTTTGGTCCACATCCTTGAAAGAGTTCTTCATGAAGACTTCAATGGCCTCTCTCTCACTGTCCCTGTGCAGGTCCAGCAGCTCCTGGAGGGTTTCCGTGGGCAGCTGCACCTTCTGGCCCATCTGTTGTTCATAGTGTGCAATAGCCTTTTCCACTGCAGCTGAGTTCTCTATCTGGGCCAAGGCCAGGACTGCGTTCTCCATGCAGGGCAGATCCCCACTGCTGATGGCATTGACATAGGTCAGCACCAGGCTCTCTAGACCTGCAAAAGGGAATTTTTAAAAAAATGTGACTATCAGTTGGTGGGACAGAGTATTTTGTGTGCTTTTCAAGTGAGTTTCACAAATAATAGTTTTACATAAGTTTTGGATAAAGAATAGTAATGGAATAATTTGTTAACCCGAGTCACAGAGGGAATTGAAGTTGCTCTTTCCTATTTCCTTCACCTAAAAGGAAGACACTGAAATGAATAAGTTAGGATATTTTGGGGCTGAGATAATAGGTCAATGTGTTTTCTTACCTTTCTTTTCTCTCACCTCTCCCTTTATTCCCTTTCTCTCTTCACTCCTAATTTATGAAAAAAGTCAATGAGAAAACTTAGCCTTTTTATTTTTATTAATTTTAGTGGTGCAGACCACTAGTCTGTTGTCTGGCTTAGGGTAAACATGTCTTCTTAGATATTCTCTCGTCAGAACTACAGATAGGGTAATCAACTCATTGAGTTTGCCAGGGCTTTGCTGGGTGTAGCAATGACAGTCTCACATGCCAGGAAAACCTCATCTTAGGCAAACTGGAGTGGCTGGTCACACAATAAGAGCTGATTCTTTTTGACTCCATCCTGTACCTTCTCATCTCTCTGTAGTTTTAAGTACCATATGTATGAATAGCTGGTGTATTTCGTTTCCTGCTTTGACATTTCTTTTAGGCTTTGGATTAAAAATAAGTTTTGCACCTTATTTTTAATGCCTATTTTATATCTCTTACTGCATAAATCAGAAGAAACTCAATATTAAATAATCTAAATGTAAAAACTTCATCCACTCTGAAAAACTATTTCTCCTCCTGATACTACTATCTCACTAAATAACACAGCCATTCAAGCAATTGCTAAACTTGAAACTCTGGAGACAGGCTTGGCATTTCCTTCTTATTCCCCTCATAAATCCATATTCCCTCTATCAATGGGTCTTTTGGATTTAATATCCAAAGTGTGTTTGGATCTTGTCAATTTTTACCATTTTCACTGCCATAATCTGAGACTCACCCAATGTCCATTTATTGCTCAACCACTGGAAATAGCATCCATCTCTCATTCACTCCCTTTCACCACTCCAACAAATTATTTACAAAATATTCCAAAAGATATGTATAAACATAAGTTAGATTACCTTACCTCACTGCCAAAAATTCTTCAAGATCTTCCCTAGAGCTTAGACAAACTCTAATCTCCTCAAAGTCCTCTGCCAGTCCTTTCAAGACCTGACCCCTTTATACCTCTCCAATTAGGACACCACTCTTATTCAATCTACTCTTGTTCCAAACACCTGTCTTTCTTCTATTTTCATTAAAAAAATTGAGATGGAATTCTGTTCTGTCACCCAAGCTGAAGTGCAGGGCATGATCATAGCTAACCATAGCCTTGAACTCCTGTGCTCACACTGGGCCCTCCTGCCTCAGCCTCCTGAGTAGCCAGGACTCTGGGCAAGTACCACTGCACTTGGCTGATTTTTAATTTTTTCTTAATGATGAGGTCTTGCTATTTTGCCCAGGCTGGTCGTAAACTCCAGGCTCAAGGAATTCTCCCACCTTGGTCTCCCAAAGTGCTGGGATTACAGGCATGAGCCTCCTGTGTTCTATTTTCTTGAAGTTGTAAAGTTCTTTCCTACCCTGGGCATTTCCACATTACATTATTTGCTGTAAAGTTATCCCTCTATGTGCTTTGGTTAGCTCTTAATCATTTATTTTATATACATATAAAGTGTATATATGTATTTGAGACAGAGTCTCACTCTGTCTCCCAGGATGGAGTGCGGTGGTGCAGTCTCAGCTCACTGCAACCTCTGCCTCCCAGGCTCAAGTGATCCTTCAGACTCAGCCACCTGAGTAGCTGGGATTACAGGTGTGAGCCACTATGCCTGATTAATTTTTGTGGTTTTAGTGGCGACAGGGTTTCACCATTTTGCCCAGGTTGGTCTCAAACACCTGAGCTCAAAGTGATTCACCCACCTCAGCCTCCCAAAGTGCTGGGATTACAGGCATTAGCCACAGTGCCCTGCCAACTCAATCATTTTTAAATTCTCATCTTACATGTGACTTTCACAGATGAGCACTCTCTCACACTGTAAATTATATCTCCCTGTCTCTCCCTTTACTCTTTCATAGCAGCCTATTATTTTTATGCATTGTGTTAATCACTATTTATCATTATACTTTTTTTTTTTTTTTTTTACTTTTTACAAAAGTATCTTTCGCTCCTATTATGCTGGAATGAGGATAAAAGTCACATTTCTTTTATCCATCATTATACCCAGTGGTTGGTACATTACATTACAGACATTCCCTAAATATTTTAGAATTGCTGAACAAGAGAATTGTACTGCAATTAGTAGCAAAGTCTCACTTACATACAGTATTTGCTTTTTTCTTTGTTGCTTAGTATATATATCCTGGATGTTTATTTGATAAAGAGGGAGCTGAGAAGCTGGTGGAGAAGTTTACCATAGCAGAATTCAATTCTAGTTCCCTTCTTTTTTTCTCCTTGCAAGGAATATGAGATGATACTATAGTTTTAGTATTCATGTAAAATTTATATTATGATTTTCATGGTGTATTTTCCTTGCCATCAATAGACTATGCATTTGTCAGAAGTGACCCTTATGCTTTCCATTTTATCCTCTACAATGGGCAGAAGGAGAAAGTCCAGGTAGGAAGTGGGTAGAGAAAGTGACTCACGAGGCCCATTGACTGGAATGCCACCTGAAAGAGTCTTGACATTGGCATGGCTGAGGATGTAGGAACAAAATTCTGCAACTTGTTCTATGAAATCAGGGTTCAGCTCTTCCTCCTTTAGCTGCTCCAGGTGAGCAAGGTACTTCTTCTGAGCGGGCCAATCGAAGATGAAGCACTTCCTGTTGGGGAAGAACTTTCGGATGCACAACCGAGGATCATTAAAGCTTTTACTTTTTTTATCAGTACCTACAGGAATGAAAATTAGAGGTAGTAAAACTTCACATTAATTACTTCAAATACGATCTTTCAATTTTATAATTTTCACAAAGCCTATGTAAGGAGGAAATTAATTAGGAAGAAGAAATAAAAAATTAAAGGGGTAGAGAAAGGAAAGTCTCCAAGAAGAGGTAGGTAATGCAGTTTAAAATTGATTCCAACTGATATAGTCAAGCAATGTCTCCATTTCCTCTAGCAGAACAGTCAGGAAAATACAGTTCAAAATTTTAATTTTTAGCACTACACATAAATGGTTATTTTGATATTATTTTCTCTCTATTTATTACCCAACCAACCATCAGACCCACTAACCTTTTCTTAGCTTTAGCGAAAGCTCCAGGTAGTCATCGGCAGTGATGGGTTCTCCATCTACTTCCAGTTCCAAGGTGAAATCTCTGAGAGTCCACACAAATGCTGGAAAAAAACTCACAAAGTCAGCTGAGTCTTCTACAGAATTGTTACCAGGTGAGGAGTTTGCCTTGATTCGATCTGTCAGCTCTGTCACATAGCTGAGACGCTAAATTAAGAAAACTACAGAAAATGCCACTTTTTATACTACATTTTATCCTAATGCTTACCTAAAATAATTTGGTTTCTTTTTATTAGCTCATTCACTCATTCACAAACATTTATTTACAGAAGTCATTCACTCACAAACATTTATTGAGCACCTACTATGAACCAAGCACTGCGCTAGGGACTAAAAATGCTGTAATGAATGAGACAATGCTACCATTAGAGAGCTTACATTCTAATGATGGAGACAAACAATGAACAGGTAAACAAAAATATAATAAATTATCAGGTGTTGATAACAATTGTCTTGAAGGAAAATGAACTGGGCAACTAGCTCCTAGTGTATTTTTAGAAACTAGCAACCAAAAGACACTCATCTAACACTCTAGTGTCTCCCAAATCTGCCAATAAGGAAGGCAGAGAATAACTGTGTATCTGCATGTGGTGCTGGTTTATGTAGTTTTCCAGGTAAATTATCTCTGACATTGCAGTTGAGCAATGATCTGAATGAATTGAAGAAACCAGTCATGTACAAATCCATTGGAGAAACATTGCAGACAGAGATCACAGACCCTGCAAGCCCCTTAGATAGGAAATCACTGAGCGTGTGAAACATATATCAAGAAATCCAGTGTGGTAGGGCAGAAGGTTAAAATAAGTAGAGGTTGGGATGTGCAAGCTCTGTAAACCAAAGTAAGAAGTTTGAAATGTAATAGAAAGTTAATGGGAACGCATTGGTGGGTTTTAAGTGAAGAGAGGATATAGTATGATATTTTTTAAAATCATACTGGCTGGCATTGCATCTGTGAGTCAAGTGCATATGCAAAATAAAACAAACAAACAAACAAAACTGAAACAAAAAACAATTAGGTAGTTGAAAAGATAACCAAGATGAGAGGCAATGGAAACTTAGAGTTATCATGGAGGAAGTAGTGAGAATTGGCTAGTCTAGAGAAATAACTTTAATAGTGGAGCTGAAGGAATTCGATGATTAATAATTTCCAAAACATAAGAAAGGGAATCATCCAAGATGATTCCTAAGCTTTTGATCTGAGCACTTCTGTGAATGATGTGGGAATTTATTGTGATTGGAAAGACTGGGAAGGAGTTGTTTTGGACAGGAAAATTAAGTTTTGTTCTGTATATTTTAGGCTCAAGATGTCTCTTACACATCTGAATGGAGATGTCACATCAGAAGCTGGATACAAAAGTTTGAATTTGCTCATGCTTGGGAATACAGATTTGATGGTGATTAACATATTGGTGCTACTGAAAGCCTTGAAGCTGGATGTGATCATCTGGGGACTGAAAGTAGAAAAAGAAAAGAGGCACAGAACTTAAGAGTTACAATATTTAGAGGCCAAAAGGAGAAAGAGTATGGAGTAAAGTAATCTGAAAAATTAGGAAGGTGAAAAATTAGGAAACTGTGGTATTCTAATAGGAACCAATTCCAAGTGAAACAAGCATTTCAGAAAGGTGGAAGGGATCAAATTTATGAAATGCTCCTAGAGAAAAAAAAAGGCTTATGGAGGATTGGAAGATCAAATGAGGCGAGAACTGTGCATTAGGTATAGGAATATGAAGGTGATCTTGATGAAATCTAATTCAGTATAATGCTTGAAACTAAGCTAATGGAAACGGTGAGGTCATTGATAATGAACTAGGTTAAGTAATGTGTGAGAGTGGAGAATAACAATAAGAGTGGAGAGTTCCAATAAGGTGATGGAACTGAGTACACTAGGGTGTTAAATAGTTGTCTATTGGTTGCTATTCTCTAAAAAGACACCAGGAGCTAAAATCTTTAATGAATGAAGGATGTATTTATTGGAACATTGCTAGATAATTGCAGCAAAGCATAGTGGTGTTGTCTGAGGGCATATGTATCAAAGAAGATTCTCTTTTTAATGGTAAAGGAATGAGAAAGTGTCCATAACTCTAATATGGAGCAAGGAGGATACCTAACTCATCTCTTACACTTATGATATGCAAGGTATGGGATAAAAAATAGTCATCACATAAGACCACTGGAGAGGTCTTTAGGAGAAATAGTCTCTATAGTGTATAGCTAGGTATCAGAAGGCAACACTTAGAGCAGATGATAAGAATATAGAGAGTTGCAAAAGTGAGACAATGAATTCTAGAGGGCATTGAGGGTTTGGACAGGGATAGGAGATTAAGTCAGATAGAAGATATACAGAGTCTTGGGTGGCTGAGTGTCTAAGGATACATGTAACTGGGAAGACTTGAAGTTCTGGTGGAGATTGAGATAGAATGAGATGTTCAGCATAATGAGATTTATTAAAGAGAGGACTTATGAATTCTTCAGTACCTGTCTGTCTGCCTCTGTACTTGGTGAAAAAATCAAGCTGTTATTTTCTAGGTTTAGTGCTGTTCTGTACCACAAAAAAGGATACTGCAGTTGGTCCATGGCCTGCTGGTTGATGGTTCCCATGCTATTGTACACGAAGGTGCTGCTCAGGAGGACAGCCAGGGCGAAGATCCAGGAGTCATTCTCATTGTCACCCTGTAAGTCATTGTAGAAGCCACACAGAAGAGTGACTAGCAGAATGTATAATCAATTCAGATAGCTGAAGACTGACTAAACTCCAGCTCTGTCTCTCATTAGTTGTGAAAACTTAGGTAACTCACTTCCTTATGTAGTATTTTTTTTCCACCTGTAGAATAAATTTTATTTATGATGTATAATTTAAGGTATTATATATAAATGTATGCGTCAGTGGGAAACACAGGAGCACTTGGTAGCAGAAGCTATTTTGATCAGCTACTAAAATTCAAACTGGTATCCTAAACTTAGTTTATGACCCTATTCCATTTCCATGGCACATTATGGTAAGACATTTTTTACACAGTAGTTAAAATAAGCTCCTCTAATAAGAACTTTCTATGTCTAAGATTTATGAGTAGTAATATATTATCCTTAATGAACAAAGATGTTATTAGATTTTACACTTTGTTTCTCTTTCTACTGGTGCTCCTGTGGATGTGAACGTTTTTACTACCTTTATGGGATCCCGCTGTAAAAAGTCAGACATGTTTGTAAAATGTCTACTGAAGTTTATAAACACCTTCAGCAGCCTCACCAAAACGTTTTACTATAATATGAAAGAAAATGACTGAAAACATCGTTAGCCATTATTTCATAGGTTTACCCATAATTAATCAATTGAACTTACTGTGCACTCTGAATGCTTATACCACATAAATTTAAAAATAATATATTAATGTAATTAACTAGAGTCCTAAATCCAGGAGTAGGAGTGATAGTGCAAAGAGGGTTATTGACCTGACCTGGTTTATGTAGATTTTAATCGACCTAAGTGAAATTTTTAAAATATTTATTTTTTTTACCTTCTCTATATCTCCCAGGCCCTCAGTGTCGAGCAGAACTAGGGTGTGTTCTGGCTTCTTGGGATGAGGCACACACCACATCCAGATTCCCTTGGTGTGAGACCTCACTGTGGAGCCCAGAGAGAAGCCTGCAAAAGAAGGAGAGGATAAAAGGGAAAAGAGATTACTTAGTAGGCGTTTCTGGAAATTGAGATAATAGTTAACATAATTGAAGTTAAAAGAGATAAAAGAAAATACAACTGGCATGAATCTTAATTACAATCCTGGAAATAGGAAAATTAGATATCTAATACACACTGAAACATTCATTTTTTCTTAAAGTTCATTGAAAGCTTGCTGTCACTACATGAGCACTTTAATAAATGTTTTATAAGTCGTTATTATAGAAGTTAATTTTCTTTATTAACATTGTATTCCGTCCAGAAAGGGATACTTATACTCTAAGTATAGAATAAAAGTAAAGTGGGAAGAAAGAGTCAGTTGACTGTAATCCTCCAAATTCAGTGTAAAGAGCCCATTAACGGACTGAAAGTTAGCTTTCAACATTCATTCTCGTCTCTAACTTTCTATTCTCACATCCCTAGGCTGGATGTTCTCAGTGTGTATGGACAGAAGGGGCTTAGAGCTTTCCTGGTGTCACTCACCGTTTTTCTTCCCAGCCAGCTTGTTCATCAGGTAGGATTTTCCTGTGCGGTAGAGGCCCACAATCGCTACCACCACCACAGGCTGTGTAATTGCAGACAGGATCTTCAGAGCTTCTGGATTCACCACCAGTTGCCCTTTAGTGTTATCAATGAGGCTCACTGGGCCCGGCAAATCAATCTCTGGAGCCATGTCCAGGGTGTTGTTCCCTTGTGTGCAAGGAAAAAGATGAAATGGAAAGCAATTTTTAGGTAGCTAGCTATACTGAACTTTACAATATGGATTAAATTTTTGTTTTCTAGGCTTGAACTTTTTTTCATATACATTTTTTAAAGCCCGGTTTCTCTTTAAGTCTGTCTTACAAATTGGTCCACTGGCTTTCTTTAAAAATAACTTTATTTTGAAATAGACTTACAGAAAAAATGTACAACGGGTATGGAAAGTTCCCATATATCATTTCCCCTAATGTTAAAATTTTACATAACCATAGAACAAGGATTTTAACATTGATACAATGATAACTAATCTCATTGATACAATGATAACTAATCTACACTCCTTATTCACATTCTACCAGTTTCCCACTAATGTCCTTCTGCTCCATGATCCAGTCCAGGATTCCTCATTGCATTTAGTCATTATGTTTCTGTATTTTCCTTGAATCTTTGATGGTTCCTTATTCTTTCCTTGTCTTTCATGTCCTTGACATTTTAGAAGTTGACTGCCTATGATTTTGTAGAATATCCCTCAGTTTGGGTTTTTTGATGTTTCCTTATTACTAGATTGAAGTTAGGCTTTTTTTTTTTTGCAAATGTCACAGAAGTGATGTTCTGCCATTTTCAGTGTCTTGTATTAAGGGATTCATGATGTTGACATGACTTTTTCTGGTGCTGTGACCTTAACTTTGATCACTTGGTTAAGGTGTTCTCTGCCAGATTTGTCTACCACAAAGTATTATGTACTATTTTGTCACTAAAAAGTACCATTTGGAGAGACAGTTGGAAGACTATGCAAATAAAGTTTCATCATACTTTCATAATTTTTTCAGTCACTATTTTTAGCATCCATTGATAATTCTTGCTTATAACTTACTGTGATGTTTGACTAAAGGTAATTTTCTATTCTCATCATTCCTTCTACATTTATTAGAGTTCTAATGTGAGCAAGAACTTCCCTTTCTCCTCTATTTATATTATTTACTTATTTAATCATTTAGTTGTATCAGTGTAGACCTATAGACATTTATTTTATCATATGGGTAACACTTTACTATCGCTATTTATCTCGTTGCTCAACCTGTCCCAGATTAGTTCACTGAGAGCTCCTTCAAGCTAGAGCCCAGGTTCTTTGGACATGCTTCCATCATATTTTCAGTGCTTTTTCCCTTCTGGCATTACAATATATGCCAGGCTTATCTAATATTGTTTCTGATTCAGCCTTAGAATCGACCATTTCTCCCAAGGGCTCTGGTTGCTTTCATTGGATAATGGTACATAGACACCAAGATTATCACACTAGGTGTAGTCATTACTTCTAGGCCCTCTCAGGGGGAAAGTTAAGAAATCTGTTTGTATACTGGCACATGAAAACACACATCTACATTTATTTCTCATCTTTCCATTTCTATATATAAGCTTGAGTTTCTTCTGATATTTCTAATTCCAATTCAACAAAACAAAATGTATTCATGCTTTCCCCTTGTTTTTAAAACATTGTCTCTGAGTATGTCATTATACATAATAAATTCAGTTATTTGCTCAATTCTAGTACATATAATTGGTTTTAAAGTTGCTAACTCATAAGTCTTCGAACGATAAATTTGCTAACTAGAGTGCATTATTAGTTAACAGTTCTTCTTGTCTTTGGTCTTACACAGACAGTCAAAACACTGTATTCCAAAGTTTCTTAGACTACCTTTTCTTTCTCTGTTCTCTTTGGTGCGGTTAAATTATTTATTTGTAAACTAGTTAGGTTCATTTGTTGGTTGATTTTAAGTATGTATTTATTTTGAGTATACGAAATATCATAGTGCTGAAAGTCAGAGCTTTACAACAAGCTGTAGTCAGAGAAGTGTCACTTTCCTTCATCCGATTCCAGCTGTCTTTCTATTCTTTCCACTTCATGCCCACTTATCCTCCATAGATATCCAATCTTGTTAGTTTCTAGTTTACCTTTCTTGGACATTCTTTTCATTAATGAGCATAGACATGTATATTTTCTTATTCACATTTTCTAACATAAAGATCACATAATATAGAAATATGGGAATCTCTTCATATCAGTTCATAGGAAGATTTCTCAATTCTTTTCACAGGCATCTACTCCATTTATGTGGACATACCACAATTTATTCAACTATTCTTTTAGGTATAGACATTTAGATTGTTTCTAATATTTAGCAATTACAAACAGTGCTACAATGAAAACCTCTGCTAACTTTGTGAGTGTGTATTTTTATATTGCTATAGGAGTAACTTTAGGATAGTGTCCTATAAGTGAGATTTCCGGGTCAAAAGGTAAGAGCATTGTATTTTGTTTATATTGCCAAGTTCCTCTCCAGAAGGAGGTACAAAGGTTGAATTCCCACTAGATCATCTTGTATCTCATTGTTCAGAAAAATAATTTTTTTCTAGATATGTCACATTTTCTGAATTAATTACAAAATTTTCTTTGGAAACTTTTCACTTTCACATTTAGATCTTTGGACTGAGCAAAGCTGAGCTCGCTGAGCTCACGTACACAGTAATAGGAACCTTTACCTGGGGAATCTTGTGTCATACATATCTCCACACTTTGAAACACAGATACCATTCTAATGCAGCCTTGCTCCTGATTTCTTCCAAGCCCCTCTGTGGACAGAGTTTGGTCAGACTGTGGGACTCAGGTTACCCAATGGCTTCTTCCTGTCACTATACAGGAAGCCCTTTGAGCTACAGCAGGACATCACAGGTTCTTAATATTTGCTGTGAATCAGCATTCACCTGTTATTCACTCAAGCTTGATATCTCAAATCTAACATGTAGAAAATCTGTTGATTTTTTACTCAATTATGTTACCAGATTTTAACCTCTCTGTGTTTTAAGATTGATTCTTTATTACTTGCATGTATATTAGTTTGCATATTGCTTTCAATTATTTCAGGTAATGAGGCCAGCATCAGGAAACATTCTCTGATGAACCAGGGCTTGTTTTTTTCTGACTTCTGTTTCATGTAAAGCAGTATATACACAATTGTAGGAAAAGCCTGTTTAACCAGGCCTTGATAATTTGACAATTTTGTAAATTTAAAATGAGCGACAAGCCTTCTGTAGTAAATCTTAATTTGTGTTTTTGCCTTGAATATCTTAATCCCTGTTACTTAAAATGATCATGATACAAAATTTATAATTTCTTTAATGTGCCATCATAGACTGTAAGCATTACAGCTTTCCTTCTTCTATAATAAAGAGTGCTTTGTTTATAACATGGAGTTGATTACTTCTGACTTGCTCTGATGAAGGCTTATATCTCATTATCTGTTTCCCCTCTCTTCAGGGGACAATGGCAAAAAAGCTATTTATTTTTCTGTGATCAGGACTCATTTTCTCTTACAGCAATGGCCCATAGAGACTTCTGGCAATAATTCTGTTTCATTTTATAGCATGATGTATACCACCTTAAAATGGAAATCAATCAACGACTGACTCAGAAAAGTAGCTGCACAAAGATTGTATAAGCTCCCTAATTATGATAACTTGTTCCCTCTCTTTGCAGATCCTGAGTTGCCTACCTGCATTTACCTAGAGCTATAAAAGTGGCAATAATGAATGTGATGGAGCCCTAACTTTATTAAGCAGATGCTAATAATGATAAAGTTAGTTTAAGATGGTGTCAAGAAAGAAATAACAATTTAAAAATATTCCCGTCTCTCTATGTAGGCTCCACCTCTGCTGGAGCCTATTTCACAGCAGGAACAGAGGGCACTAAGGAACCTGCAGCCACTTGATAGGGCCAGGATTTTATGTGGACTTATGACCCACAGCTGGCTCAGCTGCGGCCTATTGTGGCAATGGTCAGTTTAGATAAAACTGATGAACCCTGGTAAATATTTTCCCATCCCTGCCCCAGTCTTACCCGGATCAGAGATCCTTTACCGTTGGAAAGAAGGTTGTTTCAATGTGAAAGTCGAATTCTTTTCCTCCTCTCTTTTCTTCTGAGTTTGGCTGCACTGCTTTCTCCCTCTTTTTTCTCTCACAGTAACTGTGGACTTTTACTTTACCCCTCCGATGTCCTGGGGCTTCCCAGGTTTTCTTCAGAGACCTGACGGGAGACAAGGAAAAGAGGTGTAACCTCTGCAAATAAATGGGCTAATATGAAACTGAAAGTATCAACTAAAGCAGTGACTCATTCACCATGAAAAGAATTGTTGACAGCTGTGCTAGTAAGAGGGTTTGTCATGATTTCTCAACCAGGAATTTCCCATTTTATTATTGGGAAAGATCTTGGAGACTGCTTGCAATATTAAGTTTTAAAAACCCCTTCATTGGGTCATTTAAAATAGTGCTATTTATCTCATGTTTGTGGGCGAGTTTGAGAAGCATGTGGATGAGAAAGCCTCATATAATATTTTCTTCTGTCCAATTACCTTGAATATTAGCTTGAGCACTGTTAAGTGCCCTGAGGGAATATCAATGTCTTACATACTTTTGAATTATCAGCACCTAACCCAGGTCCTGACACTTAACGTTTAATAAATAATAAATAATGATGAAGGTAACTCTCATTTATTGCACACTTGATACAGACACAGTGATAACTTCTTTATATGAATCAGACCATTTTATTCTTATTTTGTATTTGTTTATTTTTTAGAGACAAGTTCTTTCTGTGTTGTCCAAGCTGGAGTGCAATGACATAATCATAGTTCACTCTAATCTCAAACTTCTGGGCTTAAGTTATCCTTTTGCCTCAGCCTTCTTGATAGGTGGGACTCCCAATGAGACATCATACCAGCTTGTGTGTGTGTGTGTGTGCGCGCGCGTGCATGTGTGTCGGAGGGGTAGATATGGAGTCTCACTATGTTGTAAGGCTGATCTCCAACTCCTGGTCTCAAGTGATTGCCCTGCCTTGCCCTCCCAAAGTGCTGGGATTACAGGTTTGAACCACGGCACCCATTTCCCGTTGCATTCTACAATAATTTCACTACAATGTTACCAAGAAATTTAACAACTTGTTAATATTACAGAGCTACCAAGTAAGATTTGAACCCAAGTCTTCCTCTAAAACCCATACCATCAACCACTTCACTAAAATACCTCTGTGTTTGGTGAGTGAACAACAATAACGTTTCTTATTTATCAATTACTTTCTAGGCCAGATTATTTACATATATTATTTAAACAACACAATTCTGCTTCAAAATATGGGGTGTTTGTTATTCTCCTTGTCCAAGGAGGAAAAAGAGAAAGAGATTAAGTAATGTTTAACTAAAGCCATTGAGCAACTTCAAACTAGCAAGTCATTACGTGAGATTCTAACTTGAAAAATCAATTTAATTAATATCACATTATATCTCTGTTCCACGCTGTCTCTAAAAGAAAGAGAAAAAAAAATAAACAATGAGAGAAGAGAGTAGGATCGTGTGTGTGTGTGTGTGTGTGTGTGAATATTGGTGACATTGAAAGTGAAAGTAGAGCAGGGTTATTTCAAAATAGAAGTAATTCTAGGAAATCAGCTGCTTTTTCTCTTCTCAACAATAAAATCTATTGTTTATGTCAGGGAACCATAAAATAGCTCCAGGAACAATTGAATCTTTGTGAATTATGTATAGTTTAAGGGTAAATGAAGATGAATACTTGTTTATTAGCTAGAGGAGCCCTTTTTTTTCTAAGTTTCTGGCCCTTCCTTCACTATGCTGAACATTGTAATTGCCCTGTGAGCCAAAGGCAGTGACTTCATTCCGGGGTGATTATCGTAGGTGAGAAGCTTGAGGAAACAGGAACCATGTGCTGTCCAGTCCCTCAAAGAGGACAGAGTGAATTCAGACAAGTGTGCATGTTCTTTCTAATTCAGTGACTCCCTTCTGCACTAGTTTCTAAAATTGTGTCCTTTATTTTGAGAGCTCTAGAAATTGGGAATACAGTGAGGATATGGTAAATTGGGGCCATATTGGAGGGTAGCTTATGTACTTAGCTCACACCTGAGCTTATGTGGTGGGTTTTGTGCTTGGAAATAAAGATAAGTTGATGAAGAAGACCTAGCATCTGAGATCAAAGGTAGTAGACAAGGGTAAACAGGCATTTTCAATGTTACAATTATATAACATCTTCAATGGTAGGAGTGACAAGATGGTGCTATGACAAAACCAAGAAGGGCATCTCATCCAGCCTTGGAAAGTTAGGAAGTAGGACACTTTAAGGATGAGCAGGGGCTGAGAAATAACAGATATAGGGTGAGGAAGCAGGGTTTTAAGAAATCTTTGCCCCTTTTGCAAAGACCCTCAGTCAAAAGAATATGCCCAGCTTATGGACTTATAAGGAGTTTGGGTTCATTCAAGTACTGAGAACTAGAAAGCCAAAACAAATTCCTAAAATGTTGAGCTGAAAAAAAAATTTCCTTCTACTTCATCGTCTTTATAAATGTGGGACAGCATTTAGAGACCATTCCAAGAAACATCCCAGGGGACTTTGTATCTGAAAATATACTTTGAAATAAACTTTGAAATCTTTATTGAAAAGTCATAATAAAAATGAAATTAGGATGCATGTCCTGTGCCCTTTTTAGTTCCTTGTTCTGATGAGCTGGCTTTTCCTGTTGAGCTGACTTATGCTATTTCTAGTGGTATTAATCACTTCTTCCTATCATGGGAACTGCCCCATCCAATCATTATTATTTTGTTTTTAATTTTAATAATTGTTTTTAATCCATGTTTGAATACATATCCTTAATACATTCATATAAAATATTAAAGGCACAGAAGATCACAAAGTATGCTTTTTTTTGGTGGATTAGCATATAAAAAGTACTTTCGGCTCCCTGAGAGGCTGGATGGAGGTGGAGGCTATGTGCTCGCGGTGTTGGTAGAGGTGCTACAATAGAATGTAATTTACTATGGTGCTGAGGTTACCCTGGTTAATGCTTCCTGCATGAAGAGGACAAATGTATAGAAAGCCTCAAGAGAGAGGGACAAAACCATATTGCCAAAAGAGTGAAAGACTTCTGGAGTGCACAAATCAGAGGAATTTTTTCTCACTTCATGATGCCTTGGAAGAGGAAAGAACAAGAGATTTTCAGAAGAATTTGCAATCAGTGCTTGGCCTCCCAAAATCTTGAAAGAATTAGATCAAAGATCAAATCCATGCTGCGGCAGCAATTCTTTATAACTAAATGGAGCTCCCTATATGGAATGCAAGAAAAGAAGACTTTATAAGTAGTATAGAATCCTTTAATATATCATTTTTTTCAACTAAGTATATTATATTTGTGTTCATCTTGACAATCTTATCTTTGTTTCGCTTTTGATATGTCTGACAACCCAGTTTAAGAGTGATTATTCCAGTCCTTGATAATAGAGTCCATGTAGTGGATTTGGAGTTATGAAATACAAGTTGAGGTCATAACTTGACAACCTAACGGGTGATCTTGGGCAAATAGATTAATCTTCCTATCTTCCTTTTATTATCCATAAACCGAAGATAACATTTGTCCTTCAAGGTTATAGTAAGAACTAAATGAAATCTGTATTTGTTAACCTAAAGCACTCAACAAAGACAATAAATATAACATTAATGCAATCAATTTTTATAAAAAAAATAAAGGCACAGAAGAATATATGATGTGAAATGAGTTATCTTCTCATTTCTCACCTCAAACATTCAGGTTCATCCCTGCTGTGACCATGTATACTAGATTATTTTCTATTTTTCCAGAAGGAGATAATAATATATGCACACATTTATTATTTTCTAAATTCAGTGGTAGTAATTATACATGTTTCCTGCATCATTTTTTTTTTTTTTTTTTTACTTACGATACATCTTGGAGACTTCTCATATTAGTTCAAATAGAGCTTCTCTCTTCATTTTAGTAGCTGTAGAGTATCCCTTTACAAGTATTTCCCAAGATTTCCCTTATCAGTACCTGAAAGAGGGACTTTAATGTTTTTTTTTCAGTCCTTTGGCATTACAACAATGCCACAACATAAATACTATTACACATAAAATTTTCGACTTGAGTAAATCAATCTATATGATAGATTTCTAAATGTGGAAATGCTAGATCAAAAGTATATGCACTTAAATATTTCATATATGATTCCAGCAGTTCACACTCTTATTAGCAAATATGAGACACTGACAATATCCTCAAACCCTTGCCAGCTCAGTGCCCTGTCAAACTGTTCTTTCATGCCCATGATAAATTGAAGCAAGAACCTCATAGTTTTTCTTTGCACGACTTTTATTGTCAGTAAAATTAAACATTTTTATCATATTTTTGCCTGTTTAAAATATGTGGTGTTACTCTCTTCTCACTGATTTACAAGAGCTAATTATAACTTAAATTATCTCTGTGACTATAACATTAATTGAAAATAATTTCTTCATCTTACCATTTGTCTTTTTGCTTTATTTAAATCTTTTCTAGGATAATTTTATCTTCTAACTTGTTCACCATTTCTATTAATTATTACTTCAGTCAAAATTAAGTTTGTTTTTATGAACTTCAGGCCATAATATTCTTTGAAATTTGCTTTTTAATTTTAAACTTTTCTTAAATGAAACTGCAATAACACATATACTTTTAAAATGAGCAACAGTGTTACACCATTTTAACAAAAGAAACCTCATTTCATAATTTTCTTACCAGGATTTCTCAGCCTATTACATAAAAGAGCTAAGAATTTTCATCCCTAAATCAACTAACTTAGCAGCCCCAGGTAGCACTGCAATAAACATATTGCCAGCCACATCAAGAATCTGTGAAAACACTGAGGGCTCTTCATTTTCAGCTGCTTCAATCTCTTCTTTCAGTCGATTAATCTCTTCATTTAACGACTCAAATATCTCTTTGAATCCTTCAGTAAGTGGTTCTTCTAGGACCTATAAAAGTAAAAGAGCCTACTTTGGAAAATTCCCAATTTTTAAGAGTCAGAGTTTTGTATTTAACAATTTCATTAAACACATGTCCATTTCTCTAACATCTTAGAAACTCTTTGATGGGTTTGTCTGACATTTCAGACGACTGGACCTGAATAGTGGGAGTATCCATGATTTACACCTTTGTGACATTTCCTCAGCACCATCTCACTGGAGGTAGGGAGGAATTTTGTTCCAGCACAATGAATGCCCTTCAAGAGGGAATGCAGATTTAATTCTAATTGATTCCCCTTTTCACCAATGTAGCAAGGTCATGCTCATCTA